TAATCTACCAAATATACTAACATTCGTTTTTTCATTGCATGGTGCAGAAGCCATGCTTTTTGTAACGCATAAATTTCATTATTTTTATTCCTTTTCATCATATCACGAAGTGATCTTATAAATGTACTAGTTTTTAATTTCATAAGTCCGAAATTATGTTGAATTAGGAATGTAATTATCAATAATTGTTTACTTTATCCCTGTGTTCAAAATACACTTCCTATATGGTAGTATATCCTTAGAAATTCTAACTAATATAATTATATGTAATCTTGGTATGTCTCATTTTTTGCTTTACATAATTTCTTAATCTTTCCATCCATTTTATATAAATTTCATCCTGAAGAAATAGGTTAATATGCAAATACAGCGGAACATTCTTTTTTGATAAATATAGACATAATATATATTATAACTGTCAATATATAACACTTATTTGTTTAATTATAATTTGTGTTTAATCTAGAATAAATGTTTAACCATGTAACTGTTTCTAGTATCGAAACATTCAAGTTAAAACAATAGAAATAATATCAATATAATATGTTAGAATTTGTTTCTATAGTACTAGAAGAAGGATTAGTTATTCCATTTGATATTTTATATTGTATGTTATATATATATTTCGCATGTTCATTAAATTCATGTTAAAGGTAACTTTTAAGGAAAAATACAACCTAACTTATGTTTTCCTTTTCCTATATCCTTAATTTATTTAACTTCGATAATATATAACTTTTCACATGGCGCTAAAATGGTCTAAAGAACACTTATCCCGTGTCTTTCAGCACAAGCAAGATAAAATTCGCAATACGATTCAATATTTTTATAGTCACATGCACTAAACTCATCACAATACTTCTTATAATTGGTTTAATAAATCTAACTACATTTAATAGCATTCCCCAGTTGTTTATATCACAGTTATTACTTTTCATATATTCATAATATTAAAAATAGTCATGTAAACCTTTTTATTCTTTCCATTCTTATGGAATACTTCATTCATAATATCCATAAAGATCCAATTTAGTATAATTTTTAATTAGCAATGCTTCAAGGTCACATAATTTATCCCTATCATACCTATTTTATATATCATTTGCATATGATCTTTTTTTATGATCCTGTAGTAGAAACAGTGTGTAAAGCAATAACACTCATATATTCGCTCTTATTCTTGTTTATAAGACAATTATTTAAAAGTATTTGCAATATTTATAAGAAGAATTATATCTCTTTCGATAATGTTTTCTAATCTTTTACAGCTTTAATATTAGTATTTATAATACACATTTTATAAAACTCTTTATTTTTCTTACAGGTATATATAGAAACATTTCATTCCATTAAATACGGGGCAAATACAAGTAGTGTTATATAAATTTAAATTATCCTTAAATTAGTGGTTTTACACTGCTCATAATGTTATAAAAAGTTTTCAAAATAATTTTTTATTTCTATATTAAAAATATAAATATATGAAATAATCTTATTTAAAGATGGCATTATATTTTAATTCACCAGAATAAAATAATTATGAAAAGAACGAAATTACTTGTAAGTAAAAACCTATTTATTTAACATCAAACTGTTCTATGGTTCCATAACCATGATAAATTATGAATATATTTAGTCATTTATAAACGTATAAGTGATATAATATTCTGCATAATATCAGTTTAAAATAGTATAGTACAAGCCTATTAATAATGAGTAATAAAAAAAATAATTATTATTTTTACACAGTTCAAATCATGTCCTGTTCATATCTTTCTTAGGTATATCTTCTGAGACATGAACTATCAAAATATCAGATTATAATTAAATTGCTTACACTTATAATATATATATAATATTTTGACTGTATACTAAAAAAGTGTAATTTACTTCATTATTCTATTATGCTTTTTTCTCTAGTTATTCATATCAGTTGTTCACTTTTTGCATTTTTTAGAATACACATTTTAAAAATTGATGTCAATAAATCAAGAGTGGTATAAACTAATAAATATAATTTGCGACAATTTAATTTAACTAAGTGTGTAAAAAAAAATGCTATAAACTGTATGTATCTGTGTGTTATTCGATGACATAATATTTCATAAAAAGTGGTGAATTTAAGCATACAAAATTTGTTATAACAGGAAAAAATACTTCGTTCCAGTATTCAAGTTATCTCATGTAATAAATAAACATTAAAATATTAATATTTTTCTATATACATATTAAGTATATGTTTGTGACTGCCCATTTAAAAAAAAAAAAATACCTTTTATTGTTGCTACAACTTGAAAAGATTAATTCAGAAACGTTTATATTTTTTAAAAAAAACATAAAATGGCAAACCACAATGTCGTGAAGTGTAACATATATTGCAATTAAAAAATGTAACTTTGATTACTGCATTTATGTGAGTTCATTTTGGAATATATTTTTTCTATACACTTCATTAATTTTTTGTTTTTCAAATACATATGAAAGTTCTAAATATATTTTGTTTAAAAAAAAAAAAAAAAAATTTACGCCTTTTATGATATTCCGTTGAAATAGCACATGCACAATTATTATGTTTATTAGACAATGTAACACAACATTCATGGATTTTTTTAATTTGATTATCTTAATGAATATATAACTCAGCTTACACTTCACAACATTTTTAAGAAATGAATTATAAACAAAATGAAAACTTAGGCGAGCTGGTGTGTTGTTTGCATTAAACAAAAATGTACAAATAAGTTGAACTGTTAATATGTATCAATTGTGTTCTTTATATATATAAAGTAAAACATACTTAAGCTATGCCTATAATAATAAAAAAATCCCCCGACTGTGTAGATACATTATGTTACCCAAAATTTTCCATGGCGTGTATATATTTATGAGTTCATTTATTCTTTTATAGCAATCTTACTGCTACATTACTTGATTCTTTTATATAACTCTATATTAATACATATGCTATATTAATGAGTAATATAAGAATAAAAAAATAATTATGAAATTATTATAATTGCCGTCAATAGGAACTTTAATGCACATTATATAAAACTCTGATATTCTCCCAATGTAGTGTGTACATAACACAATGAGATGATTTCATTATATTAAATTTTATATGAAAACTGAGTTTTTTTTTTTTTCAAAATATCAGTGCAATTATATTGTATTAATTAGCATTTTCTGTAAATACACAATAAAATTTATGAGATTATTTTTGATATTGTAATTATATTAAGAGGATTTTAGACAGGAGCACCAAACTTTTAATTGCATTATAAAGGCATAAAAAATTATTGTGTTTCACGCAATAGACAAATAAAAAAACATGTTTATAATAAAAATTATTTATTTAAAGTAGGTATGTATTAAAATGTAAATGATCAATTGTCACTTTTAAACGAAAATGATTGCTAAATCATTATAAATTTAATTAATGTAAAAAAAGATTATAACATCATAAAATGAATATGTATATATAATAATCATATCGTTAAATTTTCAAAATGAGAAACGTATAAAATTCAAGAATCTTTTTTTGCATTATGATAACGAAGAAAATGGCTTTAATATAGCACATACTAGTAATAATAATAAAAGTAATATATACATATCTCTAAATAACCAATGGACATATACGATAGCAAAAATAGTAAATTGTTAGTAATAAGCTATATTCAGTTGAAAAGAAATTAAGGCTAAAATTTTTAGGAATGGTTATTTTTTCAATACACAGTTAACCTAATAAAAGCACAATAATAACTTTTTTTTGTGAGAATTATTATACATGAAAGTCATATATATATCTTATAGAATCCAAAATGGAATGCAATAATTTTATTAACACTACAATCAATGAATGAGTAATAAAATCACTGTTTTTAAATAACATGTACATTAACAAATATAAATACTAAATGAAACATTTTAAAGGATTTTTTAACTATAGAATATGTTGTCTCGTATAAACANNTAAAATGGATAATATGTTGTATCCTACACATGGTAATACAAAAATAACACATGCTGTTTTAATGGACAACAAAATTACATAATTAATTTTAGACAAGCATTTGTAAGTATTTTGTACTTTTATATCCTCGAAATGTATATTATATTACTTAAATAATAAAAATTTATATAAGGAATAAAAAGGCTAATAAATAATAATTATCCAAAAAAAAGAATAATATGTTCCTAAAGACAACGTGAATAATTATTAATAATTATTGTGTACTTAATTGAATTCAAATATCTCGAGAAAAATATTCTAATAATGAGCTATCAACTACCTTTTTTGTATTGCAGTTCTATATGGCATGCGTATGTCGTGTTAATATGATGCTTTTTTAATGTTAATCCCCTATAAGTTTTCTATCTATATTTGTTTGATTAATTATTTATTATATTACATATTTCTCTTACTTCATTTACACTATAATAATTTAATTATTCGCTAAATAAAGTTATTGGTTCTAAGAAGAACAAAATATGTCAAGGCGTAGTAATTCCTTGTTTTTGTAATGAAGCAAATGCGTCCCAAAATTTCAAGGGAATATATGTAAAAAATAAAAACATGATTAGTTAGTTTTCTAGTTACACCTTTTAAATTTTGTATTAAGCATTAATTGGACATATGGGGCACAAATAATTTTTACAATTATATATTAAACTAACGTATAATGGATTATCATTTATTTCATGTTTTTTTACAAAAAACACAATAAAATTCATTATATATATCCCTAATAGTAATGGAAAAGATGTATAAGCACTCCATATATTTTTGACGTATAAATATAACCCCACAGATTTTTACTAAACACACGCTTTGTAAGAAAACTTACATATTATAATCGAGAAATGAAAAAGTTACAGGGGAAAATACAGATTATCTTAGATATATGCTTGTCTTACTCTTAAAGATAAAAGAATAGATGTACATACTTTTATATAAAAAGTTGTAGAATATATTTTCTTTTATTTATACTTATGCAATGTATATAAAACTTGAACCTTTGCGTATACTACACAATTATTTAATTTATAAACCTCAATTTTGGGTATATTGCTACTCATGACATATTCGTCTAATTCTTAAAAGTGACATGAATTTATTAGATTTGTATTTCAAAATGCACTGGTTTTACAACTACCCTTAAAATAAAATGAAATGTAAAAATATTATTCTTTCAAAAGATTAATATATGCAGTTTCGATGAATCCAAATGACACGTTAGACACTTTTATTTATAATCTTTGTGAATACTACAATTTGTACCTTCCCAAATGCTGGTAATATAAAGTGTTTTGCATAAAATATGAAATTCCCTTTCGAAAGAATGTGTATGCATACACATCATTTTTTTTCTCAAAAATTACTTATATAAAATAAAAGGAATTAATCTCAATTATAATAAAAATTTATGTATAGAAAATGGCTAAAGTATCATTTATTCCATTTGATAGTATCAGTTACAATAAGGGTGAGCAATGCCTAATCAAATATATTGATTATACAAATGAAATTGAGGAACAAATTAATAACTTTGAGAAAAATAATCATTCAGATTATTGTAGTGCATGGGAGCAATTAAGTAAAAACATAAAAATAAAAGTAGTTGAGCTAGAGGAATGTTATAGAGAAAGGCACATACAAGTTGATATAAATCAAGATTTAGCAATTAAAAATTTTATTGAAAAATGTTCTGATAAGTCTAAGTGTCCTTGTAATACGGCACCTCCTGAAAAAAATAATGATGAGTTAGTATCTGAACTACAACATCCAAGGGAGAATGAACAAAAAAAATTAGATGAAATAGAATCAGTTAAAGAAGGGAAAATTGTGCAGGATGAACAAAATGAAAAAGATCATCATAACCCTTTTAATGCACAAATTAAAAATAAAGAATCAGTAAACTATTATAGGTCTGATGCAGCACAACAACTAGATGCTTCATTAGAAAGTACAACTGAAACAGGTGAATCGATAAGTGAAGCATTAGATTTCAATAAAACTGAATCACTTTCACAAACAATCCATTCTGGAGAATCAGAATCACCTTCTAAATTACAAGTAAATAATTTACAGGAAAGTTCTACTAAAGATAGATTACCAGATTCTCAACATGGTGTTAGAGAAAATATTGAAACCAAAGGGGATGAAGTTCAAGGATTGGCAACAAAATTTAATGTCTTTGATTCTTCTGCTAGTAATTTTCCTGATTCTGGACATTATACTGCCGGTGCTCTTTTACCTATAACCCTTAATAATCCAGACTCGAAGAACGTTGAACAGGGTGATTCATTCAATGGTAATGTAGTCACTGAGGATGCAATTGTAGGAAATTTATCTCAAAGTGATGCACGGGGTAATCATGAGAATAATAAGTATTTATCTCTTGGTGATAAACCTACTCATAATGCAAATTCTGGTGATGAAATACCGGTTGGTATAGGAACTAATGCGATTTCCTTTATTGGTATATCCACTCCCACTGTGTGTACACCTAAATTAGGTATTGATCCTGGAGTTTCTGAGGTTATAAACACTGTTGATAGCGTCTCGCTTAATGCACATTCTCATGGTGAAGAATATGATAGAGGAAATACATGTGGTGAAAGATGTAATATTTATTTGAACTGTGTTGAAACAAATTGTCCTGAATTATCAAGTGATACTGGCATTCATACAACCTCTGAAATTGGAGTAACAAATATTTATGAATCTCATTCGAATCATCAAAAATATATGGGAATGATTCATAATAAAGACGCGCATGCTGGATTACATCAGTCACCTAAAATTCAGACAGTGGATGTTACTCAAGGTTTACAGCCTAGGAAAGAGGGAGCATTTAGTCAAGAAGAGGTAATTCAACAGTCAGTACTAAGAGGAACAATGAATCCAAATGAAGGTGTTAATCTAAATAATGAAGATAGTAATAAATTAGAAAATGTTTCTCTAGGCAACCATGGGAATTATAAATCAACTTTATCCAAACCAAATAAGGGCATCTCTGAAATAGGCAAGTACATTAAATTAACATTATCGTCAAATGAATTCAAGTACATTGAAGAACAATTACACGTCCAAATACACTTGTCCAAACAAAAAAATACGTGAAAACATTACTTAACTCATACTACAAATTGTCAAAAATACATAATGAATTTATAGGAGAACAAAATGATGGTAGTTCCAGTAAAATGGGAACATTTGAAATAAAAAAAAGTTTGGGTATACTCACTGATACAGAAGAATCAGCTACTATACTTCCCGGTATTGTTGCAGTAATACCAAAAGAATATAACCAAGGAATACCATATAAAAAA